GTGCATGCGTGTGTGTGTGCGTCTGAAGGAGTTTATTAATGGATATACAAATTTCATTTTAGACAGGAAAGATTGTAAATCTTTATGAAATGTAAACAATATCTGAAATATAACAGAGATGAAAACTGATGTGAAATGAAGCTTCACAGTCAGTGGCGCCCCTAGATAATTTTTATAGAGGCAGCCAGATGAGGGTCAGAGAAAGTTTTGGGGGTGGCACCCCCGATTGATCTGTGTAGTAACTCTAGCAGTGTTTAGCCTGTGGAGATGCATTGTATCCTATTCTTTTCCATTAAAAACCATATGCATCCAACACACTGACCACAAATTTGACACATTTTTTCAGAAAAAGTCATTTCAAGCTGTTATTTGGAATGTTTTTTTTTTTCTAATTTATTGTAGAATTTTCTTCTTTTTTTTTTTTTTACCGTGTCCTTCTGGCTGTGAAGCAAGCAGAATTGATGTCTGAATGCTGGTAACAAGCCTTACAGATTTATTCTCAGGTGGAGCATCAAAGTGTCTGCTTTAAATGTCACGCCTGATACTTAAAACTTTATTGTTATTGTTGTTGAATGCTTTGTAATTCCGACCAGACACGGAGACAGAGGTGTAAGAGAAAGGAAAAGACAAATGGTGGGAAGAGAGAGGGGGGGGGGGGGGGGGGGGGGTTCCACAAAAATAAACAATAATGAACAAGAGTCTGCTTCTAGACCTGCAGAAAGAGAAGAGCAGAAAAAAATGGGACACACAACAATACATCAGGTGCTAGCTATCACTGCGTCAACCTGATGATGAAATATAAAATCAACATTGTTTAACTGAACAATCACACAATAATAAATCACAGTGCATGTAGTGGCAACGACAGCCTTGAGACAAGTGTTGAACGTGCCCAAGCCCATACTTATGAGAGCACCATGTGAGCACCTGTGTGTGTACACTCGCTTGTTTATGTAAGGTGTCTCTATAGGAGCGTCCAATAGAGAGTGAGGGACCACAGATCTGCCCCCCAAAGATGTGTAGGAGACGGGGGGAGCTCCAAGTCCCAGAGATCCAGGCGCTGCCCCAGAACACAGGAACCCCAAGGGGACTGCAACCAGACAGGCCCCCCGCCCCCCTTGAGAGGCACAGAGGATCGCCCCGGGGGGCCACAACCAGCAGCCGGCAGAGCCCCGGGAGATATCAGCGGCAAGCCCACAGGCCCGCCCGCCGCCCCCCACCCCCTAGCCGGCCGAGCCCGGGACCCAGCGACCCGGGACCCAGGGGCGACCACCCCCGCCGGGGACCCAGCAGAGCCCAGGGACCCAGACCCCACCAGACAGCCACCGGGACTGACCAGGCAGGCGCCAAAGATCTTAAACCCCCTGACCCGGGAGCCACGAACACTCAGGCAGACCAAGGCACCACACCCCACACCAGGTGTGGCAGGGGGAGGGGAGACGAAGATCTATATCATCAAAGGAGGTCCCAGGAGAGGGGAGGAGACAAAGGCCCCACCTGACACATACAGTCATACACAAACACAGTCACACACTCCCTCCCTCATGCTCACACAGACACATACAACCAAAGACTTACCAAAATGCACGCCGGACACCCACGCATGCTCCCCATACACACCCTATTCACTCTGGTCCCGGTACTGCTGCACATTGGGTACAACCATCACCGGTTACCAGAGTTTGAGAGTTTCAGAACACTTTAATTGCTGACTTCACAAAAAATCCACAAAAACTAGATTTAAACTTTAGTTTTAAAAATGGTGAGCAAGAGAAACATAAATCCCTGTTTTAAATTTGATTATTTATTTACTCTTTAATTGTAAATTTGTATTGGGTTTTACTTTTATGTCAGATTAAATCATATGAATTTATAACTTGTGTGAACATTAAAACAATCCATTAAAGAACACCAGTCTCTGGTTTGGCCAGTGGGGCGCCCCTGGACACTTCATAGATTTTAGTAAATGTCTTCATCGGATAAACACCTACAACTGATTCACTTTGGATGTCATCCATGTCCAAGATGGCTGTCACATTTAATGAACCGTGAGAAGCACAAAGTGTGAATGGCCTGTATTTGTGTGGCACTGGATCAAGTTTAAGGACTTCAACACTCAAGTCGTACATTCATCAATCCACACACTGGTGGTGATGAGCTGCACTCTAGCCACAGCTGGCCTGGGGCTCACTGACAGAACTGAGGCTGCCATACACAGGCGCCACCGGTCTGTGTGATCACCAGCAGGTGAGGAAGGTGAAGTGGAAAATAGAGCCATACCATGATGATTAGGGTTTTTCATAGGGATGAGCCGGATACTCGTTTCAGACGAGTATCCGGTATGGTTAAAGCATTTTTGACGAATACGAGCATGAAATGAGTAAACCTCGTAAATATCTGTAATCGTGCTGAAGGAAAATCCTCATTGGGTAACTGACTGTCTTCACGCTCTGTGATTGGCCAGTCACATAGAGCGCCCGCCCCTCCCTACACACAAAACTCTCTAGCCGGCCGGGAGTGCAGTCCGTCCGGTTCCTCCACGCACACACAGAGACAGTAACGGATCTCGCTGTGATTGCTTCACTGTTGCTGACGTTTCTTCAGTTTTCCCCGGGTTTTCTTCAGCTCGCCTCTTTTTCGGTTCAATATTTAATGTTACTTTTTTCGTAACTGACATGGTGCATTTGACAAGACAGAGCTGACATGCTGCATCAGTCGCTCACTACCTCCGCTCCGGTCGTTTTTTTTTTATTTTATTTTTACTCCATCTATGTCCCTCTCACCCTCTCTATCTCTCTCAGACACACACACACCTTAATCAACATTGTTTTGTTTAACTTTGTGTGGGGCAAAATGCCAAGAACATTAAGAAAAAAATCAGTTTAATCAAATTAAAATAAAAAAATATACATAAAGTTGTGTCTGGTTCTAGCATTTCATATTTCCCAGTTCCTACTGCATGAGTTCAGATGTATTAATCTATGCACTTAAATATGAATGTTCTGATTTTATTGAAACACTTGTTCTGTAATAGTTCCTTTACTATTGTGATCAAAAACATTTAATCTCAACTCTGAGGCTGCTCTGTAAATAGTTTTCAAATAAACAATACACATAGCAACTTCTGATGATTCCATATCAATTTCAGACTTAAAATAATATATTGATGTAAACCACACCCACTTCCAGTTAAACCACACCCACTTCCGGGTTATGCCACGCCCATTCCGAGTACGGATACAGATAATTTAGTTGGTTGAACAGATACAGATACAGATAGTGGTGTACTCGTTCATCCCTAGTCTTTCACATTACATTTTAGTTATTTAACCCTCCCACTGTCCTAATGGGTGTGACCCCGCGAGGAAAGTTGGCCATTGAGCAGGGTTGATGGAGTGAGCACCACCTCACCCCTGCCACATGGACCTCAAGGGATAAACCATCAACTTTCCTTGCGGGGTCACACCCATTAGGACAGTGGGAGGGTTAATTCTTTAGAATGATCATTTTGTGGTGGAATGAATATAAAACCATCAAGCTGTGGGATCTGACTTGAGAAGATCATCTACGACTCGGTTGTAGAACGCAGAAAGAATGTTTCACACATAAATACGCACATGAGACGATCTCCCTAAAACTGTGAAAAGAAGATAGATTCGAAAAGGCGTTGATCCAATCAGATGAATTTTCACTCAAATTAGTCTTTATGTCCAAGGAGCTTCTTGATTTATTCTATTGCACGCTGACTTGACTTCATTCACAGCATCATGTCAGCTCACTCTGCAGCTTATGAGTGGCTCAGACCTGAATCAAGTCTAATGGACTTTTACAGCAGGAATGATTGTGCAGCCAAAGCCAACCGTGATGTCCCCGAGGGAGATGTGGTCATTACGCCTGTTGATTCAGGCCTTTTTTCTAGTCCTGTGCTAAAAAGAACTTTCTTTTGTACAGGACTTAACATAGTTGCCTTCAACCCCCTCGTGGCATCAAACACTTAAAGCAGCGGTCTACTTTTACTTGAAGTTACTTCTTAAATGCCCTGCAGTGTTTCTGTTCTAGTTTTCAGTTCACTGTATTTTGCTTTGTTCTCTTATAATAATTCCTTTGGGGTATTTTTTCCACCTCTCTAGTTTTCTTGTCTTAAACTTAAAGGCTTCTGTGTTTTGGGTTTTTCCAACCCGCTCACATGACAGCACACCTTCCGCTCGTCTCTTCTCTGATGTCCTCTTGGTTATTACTCAGTGACGATGTTGTTGTTTAATTCACAGAGACTTCATTCAGAAATCAATAAATGTAGAGGAAGTGGGTCACTTGTTAACCTCATCTCTGATTTTTCGGTGTCTCATCTCTCTTCAGTCATCCAGCTCGTCTCAGGAGCGACTTCACCAGCTGCCCTTTCAGCCAACCATGGATGAGCTGCATTTCCTGTCCAAGCACTTCGGCAGCACAGAGAGCATCACAGACGATGATGGAGGGCGACATTCGCCGCATGTCCGCCCTCGCTCACGAAGCCTCAGGTGAGAGCAATGGGCCTCGTGCTGAAAGTCACACAAAGGGCAGACTGGCTCCCGTGCGAGGCTGTAGTCATGCTGGTTGCCTGTGGAGCTCTAATAGGGCCTGGTGTTGTTAAATTACAAGCGGAGCCTCAGACCACTGACCACTGCGTAATCGGGCGCCGTAGCCATTTAAATCATCTCTTGCTCCCCATCAGAGATATGCAGGACACTAGCTACATGCTAACTCAAAGCTAATGGAGTTTTCCACCGTTTTCAGCAGGAAAAAACGCGGTAGAACGACTCCAAAGTAAAGGCACCTCTGGCCTGCTTAGTAACAAAATCATAACTAGGTAAGCTGACTGAGAATGTCGGGCTTCATTGGCCCACCGCAGTGAAAGATCTGCGTGTCCGCCTTTGTTGATGGTCCCTTCTCCGGGAGTTGGAGAGCAGCGGAACATTAGCTACATGCTAACCTGAAGCTAACAGAGTTTTTCCAGGTGTTTTTAGCAAGAAAAACCTGGTTGAGATTCTCAAAAGTGAAGCAGCATCAACAAAAAGAGCTTCTGTGTTTCTGTGGTCTCCCTCAGAGATCCAGCATGACTACAGCCCCGCTTCAGAGCCGGCCCGGGAGACGGGAACAGGCAGCTGCCTGCTATTCTCAGGCAGGAGACAGGAGAAGCTGGGCACCCGCTCAAGTTTCTCATGCAGCCCCACTAACATGTTTGACCAAGCAGTTAAATGGCACAGCATTTCTCCCAATTCAGCCAGCAAAATAAAGTACAGAAATGTAAATTTACTTACTGATAATAAAAAAAAAGATGCAGAAACTGCTTGATGGTCTGTTAGTAACCACAGATTGCCCTTTTTTCCCATCTAATTCATGATTAACATCCAAACATGAACACAAAGACAAAATTAAAGTTCAGAGACTTGAATTAGCCGATCATCTATTTGAGGCCTTTCTTTGGAGCTAGCTCTGAAGTCACATGGATGCTCATTAATTATTCAGATTTTTAAGCATTAAATTCCACTTGAACAGAAGAGTTACAAAGGGGTCACTAGGCTCATCAGCAGTAGATGGCCTTGGTGAAATCAGAATCAGCTTTATTGTCAGTGCTCCAGTGTCCCGAAGCACAGAAATTTGACTCCACAGTACAGCCTGACCAAGGTTACACACACAAAACGGATACAGGCAGACCACGAGAGCTGCCATTCAAGGCGTTCAGTTGTGTTGCTTCAGCACTGACTGCCTTTATTAAGCAGCTTGATGTGTCCTATCATCACTGTTAACATCCTAACTGACTTATGTGACGCTAAGTTGTCATGTGTTTGCCCACGCATGATTTTGTAACTGTGTTTTGTTTGTAAGCACAATTAACAGCTCTAAAAGAGAAAAAGTGGGCTCTGTTTTGCACCAAATTATTTTTTGTACAAATGTTTTTAAAGGTGCAAAAATTAAGAATTTTATGTGGAAATAATCACAAAACAGTCTAAGGTCTCTGATTCTGGCTGGGGGGTCGTCAGAGAGAGGTAGGGTGTTTCTCAATGGCAAGGAACCTCGCCTTGATGTCTTGGCCCCGCCCCGGTTGCCTAGGAGATACGTCATCAGGAGCTGCCAAGACGTGTTCCAATGTTCATGTTCTACCGAGGCATATGTTCTCCATTTGTTAGCCGTTTAGCTAGCTGAGCGAGGATACACGGGAGGTGTCTTGTAGCCTAGCCTTGGTCAAAAATTACCCAGAATACACCGCGGTATTTTCAAAAGGATGGCAGATAAGAAGCCGGCAGCTACTTCGGGGGCAAATTTCAAGTTTAAAAGTAAGTCAACTAATTCTGAATGTTTTTAAGATCCAAAGAAGTTATCTATTTATATATATTGATATATATTCATTCTATATTGAAACTAGTACGTATAAAATATAAGTTATCTCCCGTGTCACGTGATGTTACGTGACCGCCGTGGAAGCCGTGGTCACGTAACGCAAGTCTGTTCCATTTAACCGTTTTCTTTGACCAAGGAAGTAGTGTCCTCGTAAGCAAGGCGCCCGGCCTCGCAAGACATCGCCTCACAAGGCCAGGTTCCTCGACATTGAGAAACACCCGTAGTCTGTCTTTACAATCTGTCTCACCTCTATACTTCCTGGTTCCGCACCCAATCATATGTGAGCCTGCAGGGTTTCCAAGTCTTTGCCAGCAAACACTGCTGCTCAGCATTTTGTCATTGCTGCAGCTAGAGTTCTGATGAGAATTAAAAAGAGAGATCATATCTCTCCTGTCTTAGCTTCCCTACATTGGCTGCCTGTTAAATTTAGAATAGATTTAAAGCTCCTAATAATCAAGCTCCATCATACATCAGTAATCTGATTGTTGGGGGTCTCATTTATCAAACGTTGCATAGAATCCTCACTAAAGCCGTACTTAAGCCCAGCAAAAAAATTGTGCTTACGCCAAGCAGGTTTGTGATCTATCAAACATGGAGTACGCACAGCTGCACGCAATCTCCGCTTCATAAATCGGAAACATCTAGAAAGGTTCTCAGCTGCTTTTTAGTCACATCCCGCCCTCACCACGCCCACTTACTGCCATAAATAGTCAATGCAAAGTGCCTTGTGGGTCTCATGCATATACATAAGCCGGCTGTTGCAGCGCTCCGCCAATAACGATGGCGACCGTAGATCAAGGCAGATCAAGGAAGCGCAATTTCATAGAAGCAGAAATTGAGGTACTTGTGGGTGAGGTGGAGATATGAAAGGAAGTACTTTTGCAAAACAAAATAAAGAGAAAATCCACAGAGTGGCACAGCGTTGCTGAAGCCGTCAATGCTGTCAATTCTTCGGAGAGATCTGTGGCGGATAAAAAAGTATGGTCCAATCAGGATTCGATCCCCAGACTCCCGGGTGAAAGTCACGTGTACTAACCAGTCAGCCAAATGGAGATCTACCCTGTACAAGTAGCCAGGGTGCATGATCAATCAGGTCACAATGACAGGACACTTACACTGACACAGATACATGACATTCTGTCTCAATCTGTCCCCCTGCTGATTTTCAGCATTGCGTATTCTGTGCCTCAGGCTGTGTGTGTGTGTGTGTGAGTGTGTGCGCGCATGTGTGTGTGTGCGTGCGCGCGTGCATGTGTGTGTGTGCATGTGGGGGTTCTTGTTCTGTGTGAAAACGAAGCAGTACAAGTGATAATGCTGCAGGATTTCATAATGTTATCCTTCTCAGCAGCAGCACTGCAGGTGCTCTCCGTGTCCAACATGTGCATAAGCCAGGTCCTTAGTCAACTTAAAGTTGCACACATTTTTCCGCTAAGTTTTCTTTAATAAATCCCAAAGTTTGCGTGGAAGGTTGCTTACGCAGTTTTCAGACCATGTTTTGTGCGTAAGCAAGCTTGATAAATGAGGCCCCTGATTGTTCCATATGTTCCTACCAGAGCACTTCAGTCTCAGACTGCAGGTTTACTGGTGGTTCCTAGAATATCTAAAAATAGAATGGGAGGCAGATCTTTTAGCTATCAGGCTCCTCTATTGTTGAACAGCTCCCAGCTTTAGTCCATGAGGCAGACACCTTGTCTATTTTTACGACTAGTCTTAAAACATTTTTATTTTATAGGGGCTATGGTTAAAGGTATTTGCCAGGCTCAGCATTAAAAATGTAGAAACACAGTATAACTACACTTTACCATCTATATAAATAAGAACTGGGTTCAGTTTTCCATTTTGATAAGGACTTTTGTCATAAATCTTTGCAAAAAATCAAAATTCTCTCCTCCAGACAGTGAAGAACTGTGTTTCGCATATGTGACTCCAACACGTAAAACAGCTATTGTTAGTATTGTCAATAACTGTATTTTGTTTACTTTTGTGCTCTTAATTATCACAGAAAATTAAGTTTAGAGCTGCAGCAAAAGGTCTGAGCCATATGTTTGTGTCCTGCACGCATTTTTAAATAACATAGGTCTGATCTAAAATAATATCCTACACCATCCATCGAGTCATTTGGGAAAGCAACAACAACACACACACACACACACACACACACACACACACACACACACACACACACACACACAGATGATTTAAAAGATGATCCCCATATTTCAACAATAGATCCTCCTGGGACCGGTAGAACCTCCGTGCCATCCTGGATTAATGGAAACAAAGAGCCGAACTTTCTGGATTTATATCAATAAACATGCAGCAGTAAAACTGGCAGCACATTAATTTGTTTAACTGTAGATTATTGAATTATATTGGGACAGTATGATGGAGCAAACACCTGTAGTCAGCTTAGAGCTCCTGGTGGGACTGCTACAAGCGCAGAAATTTCACAAAAGTAAACAAACTGCACCGATTTTGGTTCTGAAGATGAACAGAATCGTCCCCGGTGTCCCAATCGAGTTGCGGGTCTTTTAAGTAAAACGGTCCAAAACATGTCTGCACCTCCACTAGTGATGTCCAGCTAGCAGGTCGGAGTTTGGTTGAACTTCTCCGGTAATCCAATATCCATCGTCGCCGTATCCCAGAGAAAAAAGTTATCGACTGATTAGCAGAGGCTTCAGAAGCTACATCTGATTGATGACGCATCATTTTCTGCTATAAAGCTAACGCAGAAACACTGGAGTTGGGGATTGTGTTCCAGAGCTGAATCTGCAGACCTCCTTGTGAAACGTCGCCAGCTGCCCAGGGCTTAGATCAGAAGCTAGTTTCTGCTTTTGCCGCGCCAGTCAAAAACATCCGATTTTCTTAAAATTCCAGCCGTGAAATCCAAAAACCTTTTTCATCTGAGGTTTTAATACTTCTTTACACTTGCCACTCAAAGAAATGTTGCCTCTGGCCAATATCTAAATTCTGATGTCAGCCCAGATCTGGACGAGTGGGAGAGTACAGGGAGGTGTGTGTGTGTGTGTGTGTGTGTGTGTGTGTGTGTGTGTGTGTGTGTGTGTGTGTGTGTGTGTCTGCTCTGTCTTCTCCATCCCCAGTGAGTCGTGGTGGATGGCTGCTCATACTGAGCCAGGATCTTCTGCAGGTTTCTTCCTGTTAAAAGGGAGTTTTCCTCGCCACTGTCGCTGCATGCTTGCTTAGTGTGAGGATTGCTGTAAAGACTCTGACACTAGTCAGTGACTCGATGCAATCTGCTGGGTTCCTTATATAGGCACACATTTTACTGATTGGCTGATGAACTGAACTGGATTGGAATGTTTACCTTGAGACGACTCTTGTCGTGATTTGGCGCTATATGAATAAACTGAACTGAATATGACACTGGCCAGCAAGCAGCAGCGCCCAGACGTTATTTTAGATACCCCTAAGAAGCCACAGCATTTTTTATGGTATTACTCTAATATCAGGTAAAGATATTAGAGTCACAACATGCCCTATAGGTCATAAATTGTAAGTCGCTTTGGGTAAAAGCGTCTACCAAATAAATAAACATAAACATAAACAGTTAAAGAAGGCTAGAGGCTAACATTGAGCTAATGATGCTAACTGTAAATTAGAAGCCCTAGAAAAATCTTAAAGAGCAAGTCACCCCCAAATCAACCTTTTTTGGCTGATAAACTTTATAAATGTGTGTCTAATTGTGCTGTAGACACGTGTAATCAACAATTTTGCACATTAGTGCATCTTAGTTAAAATAAAAATTTTCTGCCTAAAACTATCAGTGATGTGCCGTCGTTAGGTAAAAACTCTGCACTGCATTTGAATTTAAATCCGCCATTGCTATTGGCCAACACGTTCACTATGACTTTAGCTGGTACATTATGATGTCACAATGTCATTGTGAGTCTGTGTTTGTGTGTATTTGTTAGCGGCTCCGCCCTCTCGGTCTGCCAGGCAACAGCATTTGTTGCATTTTTCAAACAGGAGGTGGGAGTGGGGTAAGACTCTGGTAGGGGGTGACTTGCTCTTTTCAATTGCCAACAACTTGATATTACAGTGAAATATGTATCTACTAATCACCCCTACTACACATTGGAAACATCAGCGGTGGAACATCGCTGCTTCAAATAGAATCAATAAGGAGCCTGAATCTCCTTCCTTTCTGGTCGGCTCATGGGTCTCTGGAAGAATGAATAAAATGAATGCAAGTAATGGGGCTAAAAGAGCTGTTTTCTAATCTGCTTTGCATTAGGCACTGAATCACACATATGTTGTCCTTCATTTCATCCATCCATCTATTCTCCTCTTCTTATCTGGAGTCGGGTCGCGGAGGCAGTAGCCTAAGTCGAGAAGCCCAGACTTCCCTCCCCCTAGCCACTTTGTCCTGCTCCTCCGGGGGAATCCCAAGGCGTTCCCTGGCCAAGTGAGAAACACAGTTCCTCCACCGTGTCCTGGGTCCCCCTTTAGGTATCCTCCCGGTTGGACGTGTGTGGAAAACCTCACCAGCGAGGCATCCAGGAAGCATCCTAATCAGATGCCCAAGCCACCTCAACTGGCTTCCCTTGATGTGGAGGAGCAGCGGGTCTACTCCAAGCCCCTCCCAGATGACCGAGCTTCTCACCCTATCTCTAAGGGAGAGCCCAGCCACCCTGCAGAGAAAACTAATTTTGGCCACTCGTGTCCGCGATCTCGTTCTTTCGGGGTCTTGTACTTCAAATGAAATGAAAATTAATGACGTATGGTTCGACCACGCCAGTCACATACTTTGAGATTCATCATCTTATCAAAGTTTGTAATTAGCACGACTACAAATCAGACGCTTATTTGATGTCACCACAGAATCTCTTCTCCCCCTTTTTTTTTTTAACCGTGTCCTGTCTGGCTGTGAAGCAAGCAAAATTGATGTCTGAATGCTGGTAACAAGCCTTACAGATTTAATCTCAGGTGGAGCATCAAAGTGTCTGCTTTAAATGTCACGCCTGATACTTCAAATTTTATTGTTACTGTTTTTGAATGCTTTGTAATTCCGACCAGACACGGAGACAGAGGTGAAAGAGAAAGGAAAAGCTATCACTGCGTCAACCTGATGAGGAAATATAAAATCAACATTGTTTAACTGAACAATCACACGATAATAAATCATAGTGCATTTAGTGGCAACGACAGCCTTAAGACATGTGTTGAACGTGCCCAAGCCCATACTTTTAAGAGCACCATGTGAGCACCTGTGTGTGTACACGCGCTTGTTTATGTAAGGTTTATCTATAGGAGCCTCCAATAGAGAGTGTGAGGGACCACAGATCTGCCCCCAAAGATGCGTAGGAGACGGGGGGAGCTCCAAGTCCCAGAGATCCAGGCGCTGCCCCAGAACATAGGAACCCCAAGGAGACTGCAACCAGAAAGAATCTCTTCTCCCTTAGCGTTGCTGCTACGTACCAAATGAAGTGGACTAGTATTTTTTTTTTTTTTTTTGTGGATTGCAGTACCCAACTTTGACCACAGGATGTCATTCTTACTTCATGCACCTTGAAGCATCCTCATATCTGATGGAGGAGCTAACTACAGTTATTGCATTTAAGTGAGTTTGTAATCAGTTTATTAGCAGAACAAATGGATGGTCGTAAAGGGCAGTGAAACACCACCAGCTGCATTCATCATCCATCAGTTTAGCTCAGTGCTGTTTTCATTCAGTACTTGTGTATTAAACTCCTGTTATCTGTGTTTGTCTCTCCTCAGCCCAGGGCGCTCCCCATCCTGCTATGACAATGAAATCGTGATGATGAACCATGTCTACAAGGAGCGCTTCCCCAAGGTCAGGCTCACACAAACACGTTAGTGTAAACTCAGCGTCCACACACGCTCACTCAAACACACCTCCAACTCTTCTCCGCAGTTAAAACACGACTCGTTGTTTGGTAGAATCAAATCAAGACTGCAGCTGATAAGCCCCGCAGGGGGGTTAACATACAAAGCTGGTAAGCAAAGTAAAAAAGCTTTGCCCGGAGCAGTAGCACACTTGTTTGTACACTTTAATGCAGAAAATGAGCTGACTCATGCGCTGCAGGAAGTCCAAGGGATAATGAGTAGAAGGATGAGATTAGTAGATGTAGTTAGGTAGCACATAAAAGCATCATTAAGTTTGGATATTAAACATCACATTTTTACTTTGGTCAGTGTGTTTCTGCTGCCTTTTCGAGCTTAGTTTAAGTTTAAGTTACTAATGCGTTACGAGGAACACCGTCACTTTCTTCATCAGCACCTCAGTAGTCCAGTCAGTATGCCGTGCACAAAATGCCTTATGTCATGCATGGCTACAGCTATGGGGTTTATCAGCTGCATCATTATAAAACTGCTGAAAGAGTATGAATAATTATTTTAGCGAGTTTTAGATTAAAGTAATTCTACAAGTTTTTCTAAATATTTTACAGCTGGTAAATCACAAGTCATGAATAACTTGAACGATGCTGAACTTTTATGCATCAACATACTGTTTACACACAGCCATACTCAGATTATTAACTTTATTCCAAGACTGAGTTTAGCCCCGTTTAGATGGCGGGATTTAAGAATTGTCAGGCGATTTCCAAAGCCCGAGATACCACACACGTAGCAATAAAATCAAATGGGATTTAACCCGTTTGGGTTCCTCAGAACATTCCCCGGGTGGTCAATCAGAAATTGGCACGATTGTCTTTGGCTAAGGTTTACATAATCCATTCATATTTTTGTGCAGAGGTTGTTCAACAAACAATTCAAATAGCAAAGTTTATAACGGTCATAAACAATCACTTACAGCTAGATGATGAAATTTCAGATTCACGAGAGATTACACACGGTGTCCCACAGGGGTCAGTGTTGGGCCCTAAGCTTTTTATTCTATATATAAATGACATTTGTGATGTGTCCAAAGTATTACAATTCATATTGTTTGCTGATGACACGAATATATTTTGTTCTGGAAATGATTTAGAAATTATTATTCAAAATATGGTTCGTGAAATGTCTAAACTTAAGAAGTGGTTTAATGACAATAAATTATTTCTCAATTGGAATAAAACAAAATTCATGGTTTTTGGTAACAGAAAAACTAATGATTTAGTTACTTTGTCTATTGATGGTTTTTTAATCGATAGAGTAAATTAAGTCAGATTCTTAGGGGTTCTCTTGGACCATAAACTTACTTGGAAATCCCATATAAAATATATAAAACAAAAAATATCCAAAAGTATTGGAATTTTAAACAAAGTCAAAGGTTTTCTAGAAATTTCAACACTTCAGACATTATATTACTCATTTATCTTACCTTACTTAACTTATTGTATTGAGGTTTGGGGCAATACGTATAAAACAAACACTAATCCTTTGTTTCTGTTACAGAAGAAAGTTTGGTGAATTCTATATAAAGCAAATCCGACAGAACATACTAACAAATATTTTGTTCTATCTAAAATTATGAAATTCAAAGACTTAGTTAACTTGAAAATTTTACTAATTATGTTTAAGGCTAGAAATAATTTGCTGCCTACTAATCTACAAATGTTCTTTGTTTTAATCCCAAAAAATGATAAGAGTAGAAAGAAACCAGAGTTTAAAAGGGTATTTGTTCGTACTACATTAAAGCAAATGTGTATTTCAATATATGGTGTGAAATTATGGAATAACCTGGATGATGAATTAAAAAAAACAACTACTGATCAATTCAAAAAAATGTATAAAGATAAAATGCTAAAATCGTATGATTTGGTGAGTTGAGGATGGAGGATTGATGTTTTAGTAGTGATATTATTTGTGGAAGTAAGAGAGCGGTTAATTTTTTGTGTATAAGGCTATTTTGTACTTTTTGTTATTTATCTTGTCTTAGTTAAAGGGGGTAGGTCATATAAGATTTTTTCTTCTTCCTCCCCCTATTTCACTCGAATGCTTATATTCTGATTTGAAGTTTGTATATTTAAACTTTGAGTGAAATAATTTATTGAATTGAATTGACTTAAACACAAATAGCAATGTCAGACCAAAGTTCACTGAGGTCAAAACTGCTGCTGGGTCATGGGGGGGGGGGGGGGGGTCATGAATGGAGTTTCTGACAAATAATGAATAATTATGTTTTCAAAGTTTTTGCAGGTTTTTCTTAACACCAGTAATTTTTGCATCTTTACTGTTTCCCTGCTTCGTATATATAAGTTGCCGTCTCACAGTAGGACCGTCGGAGGGAAACAAATGGAGCCGATATCCAAGAAAGCTGTGCTAAAAGTGCAGCCCTAACAGTGAAACTAACAACAAACGACCGGTTGTATCCTGTTTGATATTAAACTAAAGATTAGGTTAGACAAAGCACTAGCTAGCGTTTATTAATCAGCACTGCTGATCACTGATTGGATGGATAAGACTTCCCAGCATGCCACACACTCTTTCTTATACGTTGAAAATTAAACAAATTTCATTAAACATGGTTTTATTTTTATTGAAAGTTAAATCTTCTTTGATGAAATGAAATATAGACCTGCATGTACCACAGAAAAGTTGACTATGGTTTTTAAGTAAACAAGCGACGCCATGACTGAAACAGCTTAGTAGGTAAAAAAGAACAGATTTCAGGTTTGTTGGGTGGAGCGGGGAGAGTGAACACATCTGGTGGAATTTTGCAGTAAAATTCAACATGTACAGAATGGACATCAAAACATCTCACCACTATTTTGTGACTACCACAAAGCCATTGACTATCTTCTGTAATCACTGAAGCAGTGCGAGTTAAAGGATCCTGGCAGACAATCACTGGAACGCATCCTTTCAAAATAAGGCAGCGCCGGGATCCTCTTTCAGCAATATCCAGCACTGTTTGTAACTTGTACAGAAATAAACCTAAAATCTCTTTAAAAACAAGTTGTGAGTTTTTGTGTAATTGACTTCACTTTTCTCAGCATTGCTTGTTTTATTACATCTTCAACAAAAATAACAGATTTGGCTTTGGTCTGATCTTTATGTTTAAGATCTCGGTACCGGCTCATCTAAGTTCTAGATCAGGGGTGTCAAACTCATTTTAGCTCAGGGGCCACATTGAGGGAAATCTAGTCCCAAGTGGGCCGGACCGGTAAATTAAAAACAACTTCAGATTGTTTTCTTTGTTTTAATACAATCAAAATAAAACAAGGCTGGAGCCTGAGGACAGTGTATCCAAAATAGTACAAGTACAACACCTGAAGTGTACCTGAAAATTTGAAAAAACTAAAAAATCAATGAATAAAAAAACATTCTTTACTGATTCAAAGAGCTTACAGATCACATGGCTAGATCAGTTTCATGCAGCACTTAAAGTATATTTGACTCATTTTACTTTACATCTTTTAGCTTTCACCAGCACATCAATATCAGAAGTCACATCCTGAGTGGCGGCCGACTTCAGGATGTGATTCGAGTTCTTGTGTGAGCTTTGAGCGCAGCTTTGTTTCATTTATACTCATTACAGAGGAAACTTGCTCACAAAGATACGTTTATTTTCACTCTACATTGTAAAGTATGAAAATAAAGTTTACAGTATGAAAATAAAGTTTACACAACCATCTCGCGGGCCGGATCTGGCCCGCGGGCCACATATTTGACACCCCTGTTCTAGATAGTGTTCTTATTTGAGCTCAAGTCTTTTTTTTGACCATAGACAAATTGTCCATTTTACTGTGAGCCTGTAAGTTCTAACATAATTCCTCCTGCAAGCTGTGCTGACAACACACATCACGTAAAATTGCTTTTGTGCACACGTAGCGACTCGATATCTGATCCCAGACCTCCACAAGAACAAAGAGCAGTATTGATGTCTTGTGAGGACTGTTGGTTTGAGGAATTCTCCAGATGTGTAGTCCCTCAATCTACTCTTGCTTCTGATGAAAACAGTTCATTATAGTTAGGGAAGTAGACAGGCTCTAAACAGGTGCTCTGGTTGTATATGTTTGCATCTGAGACTTGGGTCTGACTGCAGGGAGCTCTTAGGCAGGCTGGCTAGGAAATTAGTAACATTTGGATCCATCTTTATAAGATTAGACTGAGTACATCTCATCCTGTAGTGATCACGGAGAAACACCACTGAGGCTGTAGATGTCTGATCTAGAAGAAAACAAAAATAAGTTATACATCGTGACACATGGTGGGAGATACAACAACAGGCCTGTCTTAGATTCTTTGGTGAGTTGAATGACCCAAGTTCATCTGTAGAAGAAAGAATCACCTGTCCACATGTCTAGTTTTAGATGTTGCGCACCACAAAGTGCTTTTATGACAGGATCTTTCCACTGGACGCGTAAACGTTGTGTGACGTCTGCAAAGTGTAGTGCGCCGCAGTAAGTACACACGTGAGAAGCAACGGGCATACAAATCGTTAGATGCATACCACTATGTTGTCTGTGGCCACGTACAGAAAGTAAAACATCACGACATAGACTCTGAGTTTTGCGTCTTGAAGGCAGAAGTCCTTCCTAGCCAAAGACAAGGACACAAGACTGCTATGTACGAGGCTTGGGTCATAGTAAACAAACCAGAGAACTACGTACCTGCATGGCAGGGTGAGTATAGCATAGGTTTCTTTTTTTAGCGTGCTCAGAGTACAATCGTGTTAATTTTAGAGAAATACAGTTTATACTAATATGCAGTGGGAACATACAGATGAATTAGAATGAAATGTTAATTTGAAGCATGAAATAAAGCGTATAAATTTATATGTAACCTTAGTACATAATTACCTTACCTGATATAAAATGGGCGCTACAAACTCGAGCATTTCGGATCGTGTGTTCAGTCCAGTTTTCATCAACCCTTTTGATGGCCTGCAGCCACAGACGCCTCCGATTTTGTTGAAATGGATGTGCTCCCTTCGGATTTCTGTAAAGTTTCAGTCCACTGCTTGAAGAGAAGCGATTCTGGCATCCATACACGCAACAACCCGACATTTTTATGTGCTCAGAACTTCAAAACAAAGGGTTTAAAACGCTGTTTTAGTATCGAGTGTGAATGAGGAAGCCTTCACTCTCGTTGCCAGGCTGCGCGCGCAACTTTTGATGACGTAGGTAGTAAAAGGGTCTATTAAACAGTTGCTTAGAACAGCCATAAAAACGACAGGTTAGCAGCTCGATACTGTTTTCACGTGTCCTCATGGCAAATAGCTTTTAGAGCGCTAATGTTTTTAAGCAGTTAGCTTAGTGTTGCAACGTGGAGTTTACACCTTATCGACATCAAGCAAACCAACCAAGCATTTGGATTTAAAAGGCATAAAAAGTTAGTTACAAGTAGATCCTAGTGCATACTCACCGCTAACATTAGCGATAGCAAAACCAACACCACGGTCATTTAAGCTTCTCCGGATCAATAAAAGGTTAACCAACCTGAAATAAAACAGCTGTAAGCTTCCAGGCTTGTAAAAGGCTTTTGTTTTGTTTGCAGTGTAACATGAGGAAGGCAGCACAAGGTAGTTTGTTGCCGATCGCTTCAGCGCTGCGTAAATCCTCCACAGTATATAAAAAGTGAGACTTTTAGAACTATATGGGTCGTGTAATCTAAAAGAAGATGTATTTTTTTGTGGTATCGCGTCTGTGCCAGCTCATTTAAAGCTTTAGTAAAATCGCTTTCATCCACCCATCCTGTGTTGTATCTTTGTGTTTTGTTGCGGCGCAAAACACTTCCTGTCCCCCATTTTGGTTTTATCAGCTAGCAAACTGAAAAGACAAAGGCTTCACATATGTCTGAAGACCCTTCAGACTCACCCCGGCTTTCCACAGGAGCCGTCAGCAGCACGTTACTGCAGCAGCACGTCATAGGTGCTGATAGGAACCGCTGTGGTCAACAGAACCTTTTCCACCGGAGCCGTCAGCAGCGCGAGTCGGCCGCGTCTCAGGAGCAGCATGTCGCGGCCTTTACGCGCCGGTTCTATTTTCTACGCGCGACGCCTCTGAAACGGGTCAAGTTCGACATTTTTGGGGAAGGAAAGACAGGAAATCGGACGCGGAAATGGAGAGAAGCTCCCGAGATTTTCAGAATAAAGAACGTACTGCCTTCCGGTAGCTTTACTTTTACAAAAAGTTACTAACTGTGCGGCCCCGTGAGAAGTTATCACCTAGCTAGCGGTCTCCTTTTTTTTCAGGTCCGTATTGGCGATTATAAAACGGACAGAACATAAAACACAAACCATGTTGTAGTTTTCTCCTGCTTGTTGTTGTGTTTACTGACGAAGTCACTTGTGTGACTTCGTGCTCGGTCGGTGACAGCTGCTCCCCTGCTGCTTCGTGTCTCGTGGGAAGGGCCAAGCAGCAGCTTACGCGAGCAAGACGTGCTGCTGCAGTAACGTGCTGCTGACGGCTCCGGTGGAAAGCCGGGGTCATTCAGACTTCCAGGAGATGAAAAATGTTCTCCGATGGTTGAACGCAGTTTATAGAAGACCACTATTAAATAAAATGAGACCATAATGCGTCATCACTAAACAACCCTCATCGGAAACAGGGATCTCACACCATGGCAAACAAACAAATGGCTATAACCTTATGTGGGACATTAGGTGCCACCTAGCACTTTTCTGCTATTTCCCGTTTTGTCTCCACTAAAGGCCACGGCTCAGATGGAAGAGCGGCTGGCTGAATTCATCCAGAACTACACTCCAGAGAACGTTCTGCCTCTGGCTGATGGAGTCCTCAGCTTCATCTACCACCAGGTAGCTGAGTTGTCCCGAGACTGCCTGACCAAATCGCGAGAGGGCCTCATAACCAGTGTCTACTTCCGGGAGCTGCAGGACAACCTGGAGAAAATGCTGCATGATGTGAGTTTGACCAACAGAGATGAGAGGACTGAAGTGATCTTCTTCAGCTTCACAATTTACTAACAAGCCTTTTTTATGTTTTCCTTCATCAGGCATATGAGCGCTCAGAGAGTACCGAGCTCACCTTTGTCATGGAGCTCGTCAAAAAGCTCTTCATCATCATTTCTCGTCCTGCCAGACTGCTCGAGTGTTTGGTAAGTTTTGTTGTTTATGTGTAGTGTCTGTTCCAAACCAAACCATTCACTTCTGGTCTTATATCGTTCGTCTCCTCAGGTTTAAAGCTGCAATGGCAATTTAGGAAAATAATTTAGCTATAAGTACTTTTTCCATGCCTCTAAACAATGTTCTAACATAGTATAGCTATAAAAATATGGTGGAGATTAAGAAAAAAACTAAATAAGTTAATAAAGTGGTTCTCTCGCATTTGTCTAAAAACCTCCGCTAATAACACGGTTTAGACTGACACCAACCATTGAGCCATCCGATGGTCGTTCTCGCTGATCCTCCACACTTGCCTGGGTCCTCCACTCATTACACACTTACCTACTTAGCAACAGAACACCACTGGTGTGAGATTTTCTCCGCGAGAAGGAGAAACAGCCGGCTGCTACCACCTGAATTTTAGGGCAAACTACCAAAGTCCCAAAAAAGAAAAACACCAATTTGAAGTCAAGGACAGCAAAAAACGTTTGGACCTAGAAAACAGCAACTGGTGTTTAGCACTTTCATGTTTCCTCAGGGAATGTGGGTCTCGGGAATGTGGGTCTCTGGTTACGGCAGAAGCGTCTCGGGAGGATACCTGAGGGGACGGAGGGATGTTTCGTTCAAACCTAGCTTGTTCTATAGATTTGCTGTAACAGCTTGAATCTTTTAAACGGATATTCCACCCAAAACTGGAAATTTGTCTGTTGACATATTTCGCAGCGTTAGATAAGTGTGAAGAAACCATTTGTGTCCAGCCCAGTGATTCTCTTGATCTGGCTGTACTCCTTAGCTTTAGCTTAGCATAAAACACAGTAAGTGAATGGGTCCAGCCAGCAATGCGAGCATGGACGTAATTTTCACAATTTTCACCTTAGAAGTGGGGGGGGGGGGGGGGGGGGGGGGGGGGGGGGGGGTCTTTACAGTATGCTCTAATGGGAAACAGGCTTCAACACAAACGGTTGTTTCCCGCTTGGTCCTGGAGCTCAACCATTGTTCAGTTTAATATAGCGTAATATTGTTTTTGGATGATAAAAAGTGCAGGTGTCAAAACTTGACTTTGGAAAAAGTGGGGGGGGACATGTCCCCCTGTCCCCCCTCCCCCCCCCCCCCCCCCCCCCCCCAATTACGTCCATGAATGCGAGTAAAAATGTCCTTAAAATCACTCCGTAGTGATGCCAATTCTGCTTGGTGACCTAAATAATCAGACTGACTGCAAGTGAAAATAATGTGTAACATAAAGGATTCACAGGCGTCATTTTAAGCTGCTTTTACAAAACATGCCGCAACGCCGTGACGGCATCAGGAAGCCTTAGGTTATTTTATAAGTGGTCAGACCGTGGCGCCACGTTAGACTTGGGACTACTTTATGACAAAGCACAGCTGTAATCCTCCGCTGAAAGGTGCAAGGCAGCCCCAAAGACACCTGCTTCTGTGAACACAGATTCGGGCTGTAAGTATTGCGTTTGAAACAGAATCAGCTGAGACAGCAAACTGGAGCGATGAAGAGCTCCAGGAGCTTCTCTCTTTTAGAGCTAGAGGTCAGATCACCAGAGACTGCACGGGGACTGTGGAGGACAGACACCTTTAGGAGCGGCTTGTTAAAAAGACGCCATGAGCGTGGCTTTGATTACAATAAAAAGCAAGTTATGTCCAAGATACCATACCATACCATACCATACCATACCACTTTATTTATATAGCGCTTTCAACACGGCATTACAACCTTACAAAGCGCTGCACAAAAAACAAGCAAGAAAACACAAGTTAAAATAGTCAGGTAGATGGAAAATGTAAAAAGGAGCAAAGAAATAAAACAACAGACTATTAACAGTAAAAGCAAATAAAACCAGAATATAAAAACACAAAATTAAAATTGAATTGTCTAGGAGGGACAATGGATGAGCTAAGGAGTTATGGAATTAGGGATCGAATGCGTAAGTGAAGTAGAGGGTCTTCAGACGAGATTTAAAGACGCCGATAGAGGAAGCTTGCCTCAAAATAAACGGACGTCCACAGCAGTGCAGAGACCACCCTCATACCCCCTTTATACTGCCGTTGCCTAATCTTATGTGGAAAAAGGACACGACTGCGCCACATTACCGCCACGGTCTGACCACTTATTAACGTCTTCCTGATGCCGTCACGGCGTTGCGGCATGTTTGTAAAAGCAGCTTAAAATGGTGCCTGTGAATCCTTTATGTTACACATTATTTTCACTTGCAGTCAGTCTGATTATTTAGGTCACCGAGCAGAACTGGCATCACTACTGACTGATTTTAACCCTTTGATGCATGAATTATGAATTCTTCAACCATGATTTTTTAACAATTTTTTTCATTCATCTTTAGGTGTGAATGAAACAAATTTCAACAAATATTTTTGTAACATTTGATAATTTACTAATAATTTATTACAAATGGTCCAAATGGAGGGACTCAGATGCAATAAAGTCTTCAGCAGCTGTGCTTAATAGCAAAAATATATGAATAACAATTTTAAGTACCTGGACGTTTTTATTCACAGTGCTAGTTGGATCCATTCACTTACTGTGCTTTATGCTAAGCTAAAGCTAAAGGAGTACAGCCGGGTCATGACTGGGCTGGCTACAAATTGTTTTTTCCCACTTATCTAACTTTGGGAAATATGTCAACAGGCACATTTTAAATTTTGGGTGGAATATCTCTTTAAGGCTAAATTGGAAAGAGTTTGTTCAATTGGACTCAAGTATAAAAAGACTACAGAAGCTCCTCCTAAGGAACCCACATTTTAACAGAATCTTATTTTTTATTCCCATCCTGAGGTTGTCTCTAATGGAAGTTTGTGGTTTTCAGAAAGCCTAGATGATGTAATGCCTTTCCTTGTTCTGAATGGCCTTTGTTCACCTTCTTTGGTTTAAAAAAGACCCACAAAGAACAGGATGTAATCGGAGTCCACCGAGGTGAATTACTTCCTAGATGGTATCTCTTTGTGGTTTCCAAGTTTCACCTGAGGCTTTGACTCGGACATCAGGGCAGCAGAGTGAGGTTAATAATAACTAAAAACAAGTGAAATTATCTGCCAGCGCAGTGAGTGAATTTTTCTTACTAAGATTTCTTGAAATAAGAATAATATCTAGACTTAAACAAAGCTAAAAGTAAGTGTTTTACACTTATTCTAGGCAACACACAAGACAATTAAATCTTAAAATAAGCCTTACATGCCTATTTCAGGCAATGAAACATAACAATAGAATCTTAATATAAGATGTTATCAGTTGTTCTAAGCAAAAAACTGGAAGTTAAATCTGCAAATAGGCATAAAACACTTACTCTAAGGAACAAATAAGGCAAATAATCTAAAAACTAGTCAATTTAATAATTTTTTCCTGCTTTTTACCCTTAAATTTAGCAAATAAATCCTAAAAGTAGAGCTATAAGATTATATTTCTCATTATGGACTAAATATAATAAAACTGAAACGGAGCAAGTGTCAAACTTTTATTTCTCCACTTTAACAATTACACACAGGTATGCAAATGAAAATGTGCCTTGTACAGGTCTGACAATTTCCTTATAACCCTCCCACTGTCTTTATGGGTGACCCCGCCAGGAAAGTTGACCATTGAGCAGTATTGATGGTTTATCCCTTGAGGTCCATGTGGCAGGGGTGAGGTGGTGCTCACTCCTCACCCCTGCCACACCTTTAAAATCCTTCTGATGGGGGAAACAAATACAAAGTATTCAAAACAACCATTTTTATCATGCTTAAGAAGGAAACGTTGCAACTGTGAAATGATCATTTAACATAAAAGCTGTTGACAGAGTTCAAATGTGTTAACGTCTCAAACCCTAACTCCGTAAGCAGATACCTGTTATGTGCTGGAGAACCTGTGGGACATACACAGTATCTGCTGCTGATTGTGTGTAAAACAGACTTTTCACACTTCAGTCTTTTTAAACTTGAGATTAAACATATTCAGCTGATTTCAACGTGCAAGAAGACACAGCAACATCCAAACGATCAAAGTAAAAGTACAGATACCCTCAGATGGGTAAAATACTTAGTGTGAAAAAGAGCTTTTGGCCCCTGGTGAACTGAGTCCGCTCCTTTAACCGCAGTTACATACATTGACTAGAATACTAGAGTCCAGTCAGGATATAAAGCCTGCAGTTTCCTTTTACTCTAATAGAACATAATTGTGTTATCATCACATGAAGAGAAGAAAACATCTCCCACAGAAGTTGTTAGCACCATTGGGGTTTTCATTTCTTCCTCCCATGCAGCCCAGCATTTTAGAAGAACCCTCTCCTATGAAAGAAACCAAAACAGTGTCACTAACGGTCCACAGAGGTGAAACCCAGGGTATCCTGCTGCCCTTCACTGTGAGGTAGCCTATTGTATCCAACAAATATTAGTAAATAACAGTCAGATAGCTAGAAAAAGAAGAAAGAGTATCAGCTGAACGCACCTTTTCAGTTCTCGTCCTGCATTCAGAATCAAATTCCTGCTTTATTCGTGTTCTCTTAGGAGCTCCGAGGAATAGATAAATGTTGTGCAGCAGAGGTCACGGTTTAGTTAATCTGTCTACAGCAGATTATATTCTTATTACTGCAGGATATTTTTTAGGGATGTAAGAAAATATCGATATGGCAATATATCGTGATATTTTTCCCAGCAATATTATATCGATATTTAAAAGCAGTGTATCGGAAATATCGATATGGCAATATATCGTGATTTTTTCCTGCGATTATTACATCGATATTCAAAAGCTGTGTATCTAATTCTTGAAAGAATTTACATGCAAACATTTGTGTATTTTCTTTTCGTTTTGCACAATTCAATCGCCACCCGCTAGTTGGCAGCAGTGTGCGATGGGTTTTGTTTCCACCACTGAAATGTAAATCCCTCCATCATGGGTCAGATACCTCATGTTAAATATGTTACGTATCAGTTTGGACAGTTTATTGAACATTCTTACAATAAATTCAGTAAAAAAAATTGCTTGTAACGTCTGACTGAATGTATCGCAATATATCGTGATATATCGTATCGTCTCCCCTGTATCGTGATATGTATCGTATCGCCAGAATTTCAAAAATACACATCCCTAATATTTTTCTTGTTTATCTGGATTCTGTGAAGTAGTAGTAAAAATTGGATTACTCCTTTCTCCTCAGCATGCCTTCATACCAGCCGTTAGACTGAGCAGTTTGATTGGTATTCTGGTGCAGAATTCACCCAAACTAAGTTTTTATAAGCACAGGAAGCTTAACCACACCTGCACATCAGCTCACTGGACCCCCGCCCAACCACACCAGCTTGTGGCCCCATCAGAGGGGCTCGATAGGGTCAGCCAGGATGTGGAGGAGACTTTTGATCTGGCTGTAAGGTTAGAGAGGGGAGGACGCGCACAGATGAAACGCTGTGGAGTTCCTTTTGCACTCAAGTCAGTCGCAAGGTGTGATTTGTTATAAACGTCCCAGTCAGCAGGCTGTTCGCTGTGAGAATACGATCCTCGAGCAGAGCAGGCTATCAGAGAGCCACGCTAATTTCTCCTCCTTCCTTTCTCTCTGGTCCAGGAAAACCGATATGAGAACGCAGCGACGGAAATGATCCCTGCTGCCTCAAGCTTTCTAATCAAAATGTTATTCCTCCAACAGGAATGAAACTAAATCCCACAGGACACCACAGACGGCTGCTGCAAGAAAAAAAAAAGATGCCCAAAAAAAGCTATTTGCAGTCGAGAGTAGTGCCAGCGGTTATTGTGTTTGTTTGACTCTGGAGTTGCAGGTTGGAGGTACATTTTGGCATGCTCAGACACATGAAGGCACAATCCCATCAACAGCTCGTTAACACTTGTGCAGCCTTAATCTCCAGAGAGCAGAGCAGTCCTTATAATCTCAGATTAGATGGATCTGCCTACCTCACATGTGTTACTCCAATGACAGGAGTTCAATCCGGAAGAGTTTTACCATCTACTGGAGGCTGCAGAGGACCATGCCAAAGAGGGACAGCTGATGAAAGCAGACATCCCGAGATACATCATCAGTCAGCTGGGTCTGACCAGAGACCCACTGGAGGGTAAGACACAACAGGAGACTCCGTAGCAATGCAGACAGACAGGAAGAGGTTAAATTTTATTCCCAGACCAGCTCCACTGGTTTTGTTTTCTTTCTGGAGGATCAATACCACTCTGGTGTCTGTCAAGGTCCAACCTGGAGCCAGGAGGAAGTGAGGCACGCAGCACCAAACACAACAAAACACCGGCTCGTTCACAGATTGGCCTGATGTGTATGATCTGTTTTACTGGATAGACGGACGGCCGTTAGCTGGGGTTCAGGTCCAGTAGAGCCTGTCCCTCTGGTCAGTCACAATAAGTCTAATCAAGAAGTAATTATAGAATGTTCCAGATCTGAATGTTACAGCTTTTATTTTTAATAAGTTTAGGGTTTTTTTGTATTTAATGAAATAGTTTTCACTCTAAAATAAGCTCAGACCACCCCCTGCTGGCATCGGCCTTTTTCTTCCTACAGTTTTGCTTCCTGAGACAAAACTCACCTTTTGGTCTCGTCTGTGCTGCTGTGGGTCTCTACTGCCTCTGTAAACAATGGCCTCATTGAGTAGTGCTTCCACAAGTGTCAAAGACTCACTTATTGTGATGTCACAATCAGGGACATTAGCATAGACCCCACACGGACCACCACCACCATTCGTCAATGCTGGAGGAGCAGCTCCTCACCTCTAGCTGCTAGTCAGTGGATGGGTGGGCGTGGCCAGCAACAGAAACAGCCCTGAAACGGCTCGTTCTGGGAGGTCTAGATGTCTAGGTAAAGCTGGTGAAACAGCTTTAAGTGAGAGGGATTTAATGCAAAGAAATCCACGATCGTGTTTTAAACCATAAAGCTGTTGCCTCACCTCTGAGCCACCATCGGCACAATAAAGGCCCGCTTGTCCTTTGGCTATTCGAAAGCTTCTGTCATTGTTTTGTTTTTAAAGACAATTTAGTCACAGCTGTCTTCTTTGATGGAAATGGAAATATGAGTCGTTTGATTAATGGAAAGGTTGTGAATGGTTAATGGAAAGAGTGAAGTTAGTAAAGAAAGGTCTTCAAATTCAGACGCATCGGTCTGGTTGATACAACGGTAACTAGAACGTGTTCCGAAACCACACGAGTGCTTGGAAAGGCAGTGTTTTTGGTTTAAAGACTCAGAGCAGATTTTCACTAGCCTGGCACGCCAGACTAAATAAATGTATTATTTAGTCTGGCCACGCTCCATTGACGGCTCTCGGTTGTGGGGCGGGCTCTACCGTTGTCTTTCAAATGATCTCCGCATTCCACTGGACAATGAATGTGACATACTCTTGTTTCACTCTGTTGCATCATCCCACCCACCAGGCATATAGAGTGCCCTGATTGGCCCACAAAGCGGATAAAGCTCTGTGATTTGTTCACTAAAGCCGGGCGTACACTGTGCGACTTTTTCACTCGTAGCACTCAGCTTCAGCTCAAACTGTACGACTTCCTCGCAGAGCAGATCTCACGAGCCATGTGCTCACACTGCACGACCCAGTTCTCGGATGCGATCTGACTGCTCACACTGTACGTCTGGTAGCAACACGTCGGCCCTAAAAATATGCTAAAAATAGCAGTTTTTACACAACACGTCAGACTTTTTTGTCTTGTCTTGCCTGTTGTCCTTCGGGAGTGCTGCAGGAGGACACACAGGGATTTATGGGGGTTGGATGAGGAAAACGACATAAAGAAAGTAAATCTGTGTTTTGTGATCAGTTTAATTTGACATGAACACGACAAACACGCTTTCTTGACAATCTTTGTGAGTAAAAAAACGTGTAGAAACAAAAACGAACAACGTGTGTTATTAGGGAAATAGCGAGCGGCGTTGATGCAGGATTGCGCATGCGCCGTGAGCGGTTCTGATACTTTTTGGTCGCAGCTGCTCGCAGCGCCGCTTCAACAGTGCGATACCTCAAGAGGGACGAGAGAAATTTTAAACACGCCAGAAGTCCGTGCGACCTCACGACTGCTGGTCAGTAGCTGGTCACGTGGTGTTAATCGCCTCTCGTAACCCCCTGTACACTACACAACCGCTCGGCACAAAACTCGCCCCGATGTCGTGGATTCTCGCACGACTGGAAAATTGGCTCAAAAAAGTGAAAAAGTCGCACAGTGTACGCCCGGCTTAAGCAGATAGAGCACTATGATTGGCCCACAATTATGGACCAATCACAGCTCTTTATGTGTTCAAAACCCCTCTAGAGAGCTGTGATTGGCTAGCCAGAGTCCTGGTAGGAGCTGCGGCGGTTCCAATGGAGCGTGCCTAGACCAAACTTTGCAAAGCGAGAATTTGGTCTAGTTCACTAGGCTAGATTTTCACTGCAGTTTCATTTGACTTTGTGAAAAAGGTTACTTAAGGTCTCTCAGACGTAATCAGTAACAGCGTGCTGCTTCACATCTTCTGCTGTTTTACATCGTCAGGCATAAACCTCACACACGCCCACATCGCTGCTTCCACACTTTCAGTGTGAAGCCACAAACTAAGCGGTTCTCACCTTGGTGGCTTTGCTCTTACGTTAAGTTAATATCAAACGAGATGTTGGGATTATTCATCGTTTAGTTATTCCCCTGCTTCTGTAGAACAATGGTATAATTGGTTAATTCCACCAGCTGTCACCCAAAGTGCAAGAACACTGAATGTTTGCTGCCAGTGCTGCTGCTGGAGGAAAGGATAGACGGCAGAGCTGAATAAAGGACATCAACAAAAGAAGCTATTTTAATTCTCTTATTTGTCTCATTGTGATTTGGTTCTTCTGGTGCTTTGAAGCTTCATGTTTTGTTGAAGAAACTGGAAATGGTGTAGGAGGGAGGCTGTTAAAATCTTGCTTTTTGTTGTATATGACAAGGTTTCTTGTTAAGCAGCGTGTTTTTCTTTAGAAATCGTGAGCCTTGACAGCTATGACAGCGAGGGTCCAAACACTCCAGAGACGGATGACTCAGCAGAGGTGAAGTTCCAACACAAGTGCACACGGGCACACCTGTTTGCTTCACACACACACACACACACACACACACACACACACACACACACACACACTAGAAATGATGTTATTGTGTTTTTTATTAAAGTCATGATTTTAAATGTTGCCTGTTACCAGGGAAAAGGTAGATCCGTCAAACCGCCTAACGAAGAAGACTTCCAGACCATCAAACTAATCAGCAATGGAGCTTATGGGTGAGCAAGAGATTCGTACTTTATGGTTCAGAAAAAAATATGTACAACTTCAAGCATTAAATACAGTTTTTCTGTAACTTTTAACCAGTTTGTTGAATGGAGATTTTGCAGTTAGCACCGGGGATCTCAGTGCTACATTGTTGTTGACTGACATCCGTCCTGGCAACCCTTAGAGTGGGGTACTGTCGTCTCAACAGCTCTTTGTCTCACCTTTTACCTCCAACCATTAAGCCTTGGGAGAACGTATAGGGAGCCTAAAGCCTGGTTCATGCTTCTCCGTCAGCTCCGCAAGGGACAGACACGCACGGATTGACGGAAGCGTTTTGCCCTCATACTTCTCCGTCTCCTGGAGAGTGTTGCAAAGCAATTGCCCGGCAGGACAACAGAGGACGTAGCGCTGTTCTGTGGTATCCTGTCATGTATCAGTCCAAGATAGTGTGTTTATATTGTGTTTTTTGTGTATATAAGAGACTTTTAACTCGGACATATTTGTCTCTCATTCTCCTCCACCTCTTCATGCGCTCCTCACCTCTAAACCCACGTTTCCTGTCCTTTCCGTCCACAAATAAAACGCTTGCTGCGCATCTTTTCATTCCTCCAGTCACGGGGGAATTAAACGTTCAAATTTTTAGAGTTTTTTCGCGAGGTATTCTTCAAGCTTCTCCGTGTCTGCCGCTAGTTATCCTCAGCTCTCTTTATGTTTTTGAGGGCGCAATGGCGGCGCTGTAAACAACAGCGGCGTCCTGACCTATCACAAGCTTGCGTAATCCGTCTCGACTGACGGATGTTTAGAAAAGAAAGCTCGACTCCGTCTTTCCTTGTGGAGCTCTCCGGCAGGCCCGCAAGGACGTTGCGTGTCTCCGTACTGACGCAGACGGAGAAGCGTGAATCAGGCTTAAGTCACCCCCATCTACTTCCACACCACGGGTTCCCGGAAGAACAAAAAAATGAGTGCAAGTCAACGGGGTTAAAAATGCCATTTTCTAATTCTGCTTTTTATGTTCCATGGATTCCATATATGATGTTCGTGAATTTTAAAGAAGCGTTTTGATACCAGGAAAGAGCTTATTTTCGAACAGGGAGGAAACGTTATTTTAGGCTTTTGTGAAAATAAGTCCAGTGGGTGGGATCCCTTGGGGGTCTTGGCGGTGGCCATGGGTTGCTGCCTGGCGGCTGCATTGCCCCTGAGTAGATCTGGGTGGGAGTCTGGGGGCTCAGGGTGTGGGGGGTGGCCGGCCCCTTGTGGGGATCTGGGCGGGGCCTTGGGGGTCGGGTCCTGACCTGTATGCTGCTGGGAAGAAAGGCGGAACATGCGGCAATCATTGGCATTTGGTAAGGGGATTTTTCAGCCTTGTCCCGAGTGCCGGTGCCCACTTCCAATTATAAACTGCACTTAGACACAGAAGGCTGTGGGTGCAAGTGGGGTGAGGTGGTTGCATCAGCTGGCATAGGCCAGACGATGCCAGCACTGCCCACTCACCACAGCCATTGATTACACCTCATCAACACGCACTAACAGTATTGGAATAGGCGGAGGGAGACTAGGGGTCTTAGCACACCTCTGTTGTCGCTTGGCTTCCCGGGGCTGGAGGCTAGGAGGGGGATCTGGCCATCTGGTTGGGGTCTTGGGTGGTGGGTTGCATTGCTCAGTGTTGGGCGGAGGAGCCTGCTCATCAGCACCCCTGCAGAAAGGGTCGAACTCTGGGAACTGGTGATGGTTGTACCCTTTGTGCAGCGGTACCGGGACCAGAGTGAATAGGGTGTGTATGACGAGCATGAGTGGGTGTATAGTGTGCATTTTTGTAAGTCTTAGGTTGTATGTGTATGGGTGAGCATGAGGGAGGGAGTGTGTGACTGTATATGCCAGTTGGGGCTTTTGACTCCTTCCCTCCTTCCTGGGACTTCTTTTGATGCTATACATCATATACTTCGCCTCCCCTCCCCTGCCACAACTGGTGTGGAGTGTGGTGCCTTGGTCTGCCTGAGTGCTCGCGGCTCCCGAATTGAGAGTTTAAGATTTTTGGCGTCTGCCTGATAAATCCCAGTGGCTGCCTGGTGGGGTATGATTCCCTGGGCTCTGCTGGGTCCGGCAGGCGTGGTCGCCCGTGGGTCCCGGGTCGCTGGGTTCTGTGCTCGGCCGGCTGGGGGGTGGGAGGCTGTGGGCGGGCCTGTGGGCTTGCCGCTGATATTTCCCGAGGCTCTGCCGGCTGCTGGTTGTGGCCCCCCCTGCCCCCCTCTGCGCCTCTCGAGGGGTGCAGGGGCTTTTCTGGTTGCAGTCTCCCTGGGGTCCCTGTGTTCTGGGGCAGCTCCTGGGTCTCTGGGACTTGGAGCTCCCTCTATCTCCTACACATCTTTGGGGGGGCAGATCTGTGGCCCCTCACACTCTCTACTGGACACCCCATAGAGAAACCTTACATATACAAGCATAGGTATGTACACAGGTGATCACATGGTGCTGTCATATGTATGGACATGGGCATTTTTAACACATGCCTTAAGGCTGTGGTTGACACTAAATGCACTGTGATTTACTATCGTGTGATTGTTCAGTAAAACAATGTTGATTTTATATACTGAACAAAAATATAAACGCAACACCTTTGTTTTTGCTCCCATTTTTCATGAGATGGACTTAAAGATCTAAAATTCATTCCATATACACAATATAACCATTTCTCTCAAACATTGTTCACAAATCAGTCTAAATGTGTGATAGTGAGCACTTCTGCTTTGCTGAGATAGTCCATCCCACCTCACAGGTGTGCCGCATCAAGATGCTGATCTGACATCATGAGTAGTGAAGGTGTACCTTATACTGCCCACAATAAAAGGCCACCCTGGAATGTGCAGTTTTGTCTCAAAACAAAAAGCCACAGATGCCACAAGCATTGAGGGAGTGTGCAATTGGCATGCTGACAGCAGGAATGTCAACCAGATCTGTTGCTCGTGCATTGAATGTTCATTTCTCCACCATAAGCCATCTCCAAAGGTGTTTCAGAGAATTTGGCAGTACATCCAACCGGCCTCACAACCGCAGATGACGTGTAACCACACCAGGACAGACCCTCCACATCCAGCAGGTTCACCTCCAAGATCGTCTGAGACCAGCCACTCAGACAGCTGCTGAAACAATTGGTTTGTATAACCAAACAATTTCTGGACAAACTGTCAGAAACCGTCTCAGGGAATCTCAACTGCATGCTTGTCGTCCTCATCGGGGTCTTGACCTGACTCCAGCTCGTCGCCGTAACAGACTTGAGTGGCAAATGCTCACATTCGATGGTGTCTGGCACGTTGGAGAGGTGTTCTCTTCACGGATTACATTGTTCAGGGCAGATGGTAGACGTGTGTTTGGCGTCGTGTGGGTGAGTGCTTTGCTGATGTCAATGTTGTGGAATGAGTGGCCTATGGTGGTGGTGGGGTTGTGTAATGGGCAGTCATCTGTTATGGACGAAGATCACAGGTGAATTTTATTGATGGCATTTTGAATGCACAGAGATACCGTGATGAGATCATGAGGCCCATTGTTGTGCCATACATCCATGAACATCCCGTCATGTTTCAGCAAGATAATGCACAGTCCCATGTTGCAAGGATCTGTACACAATTCTTGGAAGCTGAAAATCTGTACACAATTCTTGGAAGCTGAAAATGTCCCAGTTCGTGCATGGTCAGCATGCTGACCAGACATGTCACCCGTTGAGCATGTTTGGGATGTGCTTGACCGGCGTATATGACAGCGTGTACCAGTTCCCACTAATATCCAACAACTTCGCACAGCCATTGAAGAGGAGTGGACCAACATTCCACAGGCCACAATTGACAATCTGATAAACTCTATGCGAAGAAGATGTGTTGCACTGCATGAGGCAAATGGTGGTCACACCAGATA